CTCGCCAAACAAAAATGTAAATTTGCCTCAATTTAAGTTCCTGTTTATGTCACGAATCATTCCTACCTCAAGAGCAAATCAGGTAAACTCAAACGGGCTAAATAAACAAAGGTATTGGAAATGAGAGAAACCGAGATAATGCGACAAGAAAAATCTATCATCGTGTTGATAATTTGATAACTGCAGTATACTATGAACACTGGCGCTTGCGGAAAAATTCCATTAGCATAGAGCGGAGGGTAGATTTACCAAGATGTGATCAAGACAAAAAATAATGAAATCGTGTTAGCAAGAAGCTATTACTGGGAGGCCAGTTTCACGGATATTATCGGAGCAAGGGCACATCAATAGCAAGGCGGTCTACAACGTGCTGGGGGAGGCAATAAACTGGATTGATAGGCCTTAAGCGTTTTCCACACATAGCCAAACAAAGTGATGTTTCCATAATACTCTGAGGCACGTTAGAGACAGCTTGCAGCTTATTTTCGGCAACAGATTCAAGGTTGTCAATCTGAGAAGTAGATTCAGCAGGTTCCCTCACCGAATCACCTTTGGCCGTTCCGATCTGATACTTGCTGTCCAATTTGTCCACCTTTTCTGTCTCTTTGCTAATCTGATCGGCGAGTGCTTCAACTGTGCAAGAATCAGCAATCTGGGTGTCCGAATGGCCGTCAACTGTAAGCCGATCAGAAAAACTAGCAGCAGCCGTGCCTTTTCTGGCAAGAAGGGAAAGACCAGCTAAGCCAAACAAGGTGTGGAATGGGTCGGGTAAGTTGCCAGGCCGGTCGGCAATACCCCCTAGCTCAGCGTCCTGTGAAGCCATGATGAAACGGGCCAGATCTATATCACTGATCCAAACAAGTCGACCGAGCATAGTCAAAGAGGAGAGCACCCACCTGGATGGGAAAGGCGACATTTAGAGAGAAGTAAAGTTATAAAGAATTAAATGCATATCTTGTAAGTTTAAGCTCTTACAGTTTAAGAAATTATTGAGTCTCGTATAAAAAATAAATAAGCGGCCTGACAGCCATCTCCTACAGAAGGTGGCGGACTAATATCTTTAACTAAGTCGAGGTGAGCCATTTGTGTAAATTAGTAGGTTGAGTACCATTTAAAAAATGCAATGATGGAGGTGCCGTTATAATAGACCAAATTTAGTATTTTGAAACATAAGAGTGATTGGCAACTTCTTTACATCCCCAAAGAGATATCAGTTTGTCGTGTACGATTAAATATAAGGAAAATTTCAATAAGCCTATGTAAAAAATCGTAATAAAAATATTAAGGTGATGAAGGTGGTTATGCATTAAATCAACTTGAGGTAATATTATTAGGCAACAATGGAAGTAGCGAGAACACATAATGGTGTGAAT